GAGTGCTGGGGAGAAGTGTCTGGAGGTGGGCAAAATTTCCCTAGAAATAAGGAAAAGCATGCGGCATTTTACAGAAGATCATTAGGACTGCAGCTTCACATTGAAGTGGAAACATGCCTAAGGGATCCAGAGAGATATCTAGCCATACAGTATTGCATGTAGCTATGTCCAACAGGTGGACACTGTACAGGTCTGATGGTGTCCACCCCTCACACGCAGGCAGTCAGATCCGGTTAGCCAGATATTCTAGCAGTTTTTCAGACGAATATAAAAGTTGTGAAAACTCACTTAAGTTACATGTATCTGATCTGTCCCTTTCCTCTGCCGCATGGACTCAATGGAGCACAGTGTGCTACACAATATTTGTAATGTAATATTTGTATTAGTAACACTTTTTGAAGTTAGTTGGTGCTAAACATTAATTAAATGAATAAAAATAAACACTAACATATAAGTTATAGTATTGTCTTTTCAGTGGATGGCTCAAATATGTATCCAGACTCACTTCCGTAGCTCCCAGTGCAATATGACACAGCAAGGGAAGGCCACTGCAGGAGCTGGGTGGAGAGACAAATATGTTTTTTATCCCTTCCCCATTCCTTAGTCTCCCCCTTCAGCCCCAAGGCCTGAACTGCAAGGCTCCCAGGACAGGCTGGAGCCCTGAGCAAGAACGCTTCTAAGGGATGAGGAGGGCCATTCAACGGTATGAATTGCTTCCGGTATTAAGATTGGCCACAGCACCAGGATGTGATCCAGCTGCTCACCTTCCAAAGTGATGCCTGCTCTCATTTGCCAAGAATGCCTTTCATCTGCCAAGAATGCCTTCAGGATCTTTGCACCCATCTTAGGTTGCTCACCCTTGTCCCAATAAAGTGCTCTAATTTGTGGCTAGTCAACCAAAGACTTTCATCTGCACAATGTGGAAATCATTTGTTCAAGGGTACTGACTGGGCCAAATGAAACACACACAGCTGGGTGTCAGGTTGAAGGGAAAAGCTCTGCTTCCAATGTGTCTCTATCATATGTACACTCTCGTGCATTAACATGAACAGGGATGTGTCACTGGGTTTGATGAGGGCAAAAATAAGAGATATTTTCCTGGAAGCAGCTCTTGCTTCCCTCGCTGTGTAATGCAAATGCCATGCCTATTTTGTCTAGAATTCTTCTTTGCTTTACAAATATTTCTTCACCTAATTCTGAACTGCATTAACAGCCATGGTACGAGTATCTTAACATAGATATGAGAGCTTCAAAGACAGCGTAAACCCCATACCAGAAAAACATGGTTTCAGTGGGAACTTGCTTTGCAGAATGACCCCTCTGGTCCTAATACTCTGCCAGGGCTAACACCAGGATAAAATAGTTGGGATTTTAAGATCTACCTACAGCAAAATCAAAAGCACAATAATAGGTAAAGCAAAAACTAATGTGGGCATATAGGTAACTACTCTCAGTGACCATGAGAATGTGGTTACCACCTACTGATCACAATACTGCTCATGACACTTTCTTATCAGCCCTACCCTGTACTAATGCCCCAGTTCTAGCCATGCATGGTCAGGGAGAAACAAGGATTCAACCAAAAAGTCATAAAGTTAACTGAGGAATTTGAGGACAGGCAGTTTCATGTCCTTTTGTTTTTTTGCTTGTTTCTTTGTTCTTTCTTTGAAGAAACTTTGTTTCTTCTATTAATTTCATGAATTTTTCCACACAGTTGCTTGGGAATAGCTGGCTTTCTTCTTTTCAAAAGACACTGGATTTTTAAAAAAAATCAAAACATTAAAATGCTTTTCCTACCATGTCATGCTTAAAAATGGGGATGTGCGGAAGCGCATACTGTGATTTTATATGCTTAATAATCCCACTTCTGTCACTGCCTTTTCTTTTGAGAAGTATTTAATAGAATGTCCTCTGATTCAAATGAGCTGCTAGAATAATATTTTGTCCACACTAGTGTAAATGTTTTCTGAATATATCCAAGTGCTGCCTACTATACAGCAAGGGAGGGCACTGTTTTTAATGCTGGAAACCAATGTGGATTTCCCCAAATTCAGAAAACGATTCAGAACACAGCTTTCTGGTGAGCAAAATGGCAGATCCTCAAAGAATGTGTCTTATACCTGAACAACACTTGAAACAAAAAAGGCAGTTTTGAGCTTGATGAAACTTCTAAGAAAGGGTTCTTGCCTCTTCAATACAGACCCAATAAGCACTCAGCTACACTCTCACGCTGGCCTTGTCTGTGAAAAGCCAACAGAAAGACAGTGAAGTCAGGAATGCTACAGATTTCATCCCACAGCCTCACCCACATGAAATGCCATGTGTGTATGTTAGTACTTTGCTTTTCATAGGCCTGCATAGTCAGTACTTAGAGAACTTCCATAAGAAACCTATAAGAGAGATTTATACTGTGTTCCAACACTGTTAAAATTCTGAAAATGTCATGTAATCCACTTGCATTGCTATCTCTGTGCTGGAAACACTTTTTCCCACAGGAACACATGAAGATATCAATACTTATGCCTCTATGAAAAGATATGGGAGTCCTGTCAACCCTCACCCCCTTTTCAAGCTGTCAAAATTGATATCCAATTTGAGAGGGCCCTTGTCCCCCCACCCCACAGGGACACACACACGCATGCGTGCTTGCTCCAAAAGGGTCCAAAGGGGCCTGCATTCCCTGGGACATGTCCAGCCTTTATGGGCACAGAATATCTCGTGACTGTGGTGCTGGGAGGCCAGACAAGCTGGTCTTTCCGCAGGATTCTGTGGGATGCTCATGGAAGGAGGGAAGGGACAGACAGCCCATAATGAACTTAATCATTTGTCAGTTGCACTGTGGATTGTTTGCAGAACAACCAACCCGCTGTCACCTATTGCCAGGGTGATTTGGCCTGATGTGTGAAGGTACCCATAGCCGGGCAACATTCTGCAGCCCAGCCTTTACCAGCCTGGTTGGCTGGGGAATGCTGGCATGCACAGCCCAACACATCTGCAAAGCACTGGATTGGGGAAGACTGCTCTGGCCACTTGTTTTCCTCTGCTAAAGGCTTTTTTATACTCCTACAAAACTTGAGGTTTCTTCAAGCATGATGGTACATCCCTCTCGTGCATGGGATGAGCCACTTGGGATATGCACTACACTCTGAAGATGGAGTCACGATTAGCATATAGCAGACTAGGCAAATCTTTAGGACTGCTGCACATTTGGCAATTAGGGAAAGTGTTATAGGCACTAACATAGTTATAATATAATATAGAACAGAATAGAATAGAATATACAGTTACTACTAACTATAACTAACTGCAAGCTACCACAGGCTTATGGAAAAGAACCATTAACCTGCCTCAAAAACTGAGTATTTTGCAGAAGTGGAGATCTGAGGTTCTGTACAACTACATAACATTGTCAACAGAAACCTATTGCATTGCCCATTACATAGAAAGTTATGCTTATCGAGTGTTTTTGTTTTTTAAGTGGAATGGGTATGACATCTTGGGGGACATAAAAAAGGTGTTTCAAGGTGCATTAGTGTCCATGGGCCTGCTCCTGGTGTCCAGACTGCTGATGGGGTTTATTTAAATGAACAAAATAATCTGTTCTATTTAAGAAACATCTCAGGAATACAGTGACATCTACTGAATCAAAACAGAAAAACACAACTATGCCTCTGTCTTTTGCACCAAGAAAAACTGTTGCTTTCATTTCTTGATTAAACCATGCAGAGTTCATCTGAATCCTGGTAACATGTCATACTGATATTACTAAGATGGTAAATACCCAAAATAAATGCCCTCATTTGGGTTTTGGGAATGTTTATTTAGTATTCATGATGTAGTTTATATAACATGTGCTATGGTCATTCAATGGTCACATTTTTTGAAGGAAGGAAGGTTTCATAAAGTCCTCAACTGTGTGGAAAAATCATTTGTGCTTCTTTTACTAATGAGGAAGACAAATATCCTTACCAATTTAGGCAGCAATCCTGTACAAGTTTAGACAGCAGGGCAAAAAGTTCTACAATTCCCAGCACGTGCCAGCATTGCCAACCGGAGCGCATTGCAAGCTTAAGGTCAGACAACTCCCATGCTGAGGGTTGTCGATCCCGGTTCGTCTACGCTTGCAGAGGATTGCACCCTAAGTATGCTGTGCCGGGCTTTGTGCTCGTTCCCATTCCTTGAAAACCGACTTGCACAATGCACAAATTGCGTGGGCCTCGGATAATTCAAGCCGCGCTTCAATCACTTCAAAACCATAATCCCCATCTGTGCCGCCCTTGGTAGCGTGTGACAGAGTGCGTGCAGCGTGTAACAAACTTAACAAATTTAAATTGGGCCGGGAGGCAGGAGAGACTCCCTGAAGATCCCGTCCGTCGCCGTTGGGGGGCGGGGCGAGCGCGGGAAGCCCCGCCCCGTGGGCCGAGCGGCTGTTTGCGGTTGGCAGCTGTCAAGGCTCGCTGGGCCTGGCTTGTCCCTCCCTCCGGCGGACGTGGAGACGGGCGGCAAGAGGGTGAGCGACGGTATGGGGGCGCGGGAGGCCGGGCTCAGCGCGGCGAGGAAGGGGGCCTGCGCGTCTTCCTCTGCACGCTGAGGAGGCGTCTGCTGCTCCGCTCCGCTCCCTCCCCGAAGCCGGCGTCCCTCGAGAAGGGGAGAGGGCAGGCTCGGGAAAGGACCCACGCAATCAATGGGGGCGGCCGCTCGCTCCGCACAGCCCCCGGGGCCTTCCAGCCACCTCCCCTAGGTGGCGTCGGCAGCGTGCCGGCTTGGCTGCGCGAGTGTGGGCCGGGCGGCTCGCTGAGCCCTCCTCTCCCGGCCCTCTGCTCGCTCTCCCGGTCGAGAGTCGCAGTCTGGGTGGGGCGCGCCTGCCTGCGAAAGGACGATCCTGGGTGAGGACCCGAGAACGAGCGAGCAGCCTTCCCTGTCGGGATCCGCCGCCGGGAGCCGTTTCCTTCTTCAGAGCTTTAGGGTTGGGGGTGGGTGGGACGGTAAGAAGTTTAATCACCGCAACGCACCTCGCATGTGCAACCTCAGGGGTAAGCCCCATTGAGTTAAGTGGGGCTTACTCTCATGTAACTTGGTATAGGATTGTAGCCTTAAGGTCATTCATTAGGGCTTAAGAATTCCTGATAAGGGCGAACTCTTACTCTAGAGTAGAAGTACGGATGTGAGCAAAGGGTGTATACTGAGCAGCCTGAGTTTTGTTTTTAAAAAATGGACTGATGCCTGACTGGTGCAATGCATTACAAAAACACAGGACATTATAGTAGCACGATAATGCTTATTTTTCGAACTATTTCACTGCAGTTGGTCTACGATGATAAATGCAAAGTGCAAATGCAATTGAATAAAAGCGTTTCCAGCATGTATGCCATAGAGGTGCACTTTACAGGGAGCTAAAATTGTTTGTGACTGCTTGTTGAGTCTAAGCTTTGTGGGATATCCAGACTTGCAGCTAGAGTATGAAATAGCTCTTAGAGCTGTATAGATTTTTTTTTCTGTACAGAAAATGTTAACTAGGAAGAGCCATGAAACAGGCATGTGACGGTTGTACGCTCATGAATGTTTCTGGCCATATGATGTTCACGTATGGAAGTTGTGGTCAACTGTCAATTCATATTTCACAACTGATGTAGCTGTGTGATGGTTAGATGAATGGTTATGTATCTTTCCCTCTTGCTCTTCCATCCCCATGGAATGGAATGGAATGGAATGGAATGGAATGGAATGGAAGAGCAATGTTTTCCATGTAAGGAAGTAATGTTCAGTCTACAGTGCTTTTACTTTAGGGATAAACATTTCCATCTGCCTTGATATTAGAGTCCCCCTCCCTATGTTGAAGTGCTCCCTAGAAGCAAATCCTTTACCTACACCTAATCACAGTGAAGAGCTTTTGTGCGTGAGCTTTTGTCACAGAAGTGAGATTCGGACACATACTCATGCAGTGTTTCCCTTTTCCATTACATAATGTCTGGGTGGTACCATGACACAGTGCAAATGCACAGGAGGAAATGGATTTTTAATGGCAAAGTCTCTCTGTTAAAAAAAAAAAAAAAAAAAAAACCCTTGTCAGAAATACTGATTAGAAGTGGAACTGGAAGATCAATTCAACAAGTCAGCTAAACATACTATAAACTACATGTAGGGAATGATTCATGCATGGTAATGCCCTGTGCAGAAAAGCCCTAAGATGTTTAGGATTGCAGCTTCCTTGTTCAGTCCCATGCATGTTTATTCAGAAGAAAGTCTCAGTGAATCCATTGGGTCTTATTTCCTTGTAAGTGTGCATAAAATTGCTACTCTAGTCACTAAGTAGCTATCATATTTAGTTTGAGTACATTATTAAAACTATAAAGAGGCAACATAAAACTGGAAACGCATTGTTATCTACAGCCATATACAGCCATATACATATTGATTTAGAACAAAAAACCATTGTGTTCAATTGACTTTGTTGCCACCTTAGTCTGGATCAAATTTTTATGGTATTTGGATGCTTGCTTCTCTTACAAATTTATGTTCATCACTATTGCTTGCCAGAGTCATCCTCTTTTGGTATTGAGGGGTAAACATTGTAGAGTTAAGTTTGTTCATATCAAAAAACATAGTTATTGTGTTTTTTATACATGAATTTACAATTTGCTTTAAAGAGAGCTGTGACTGAGCAGCTCTTTACAAACGTTAACTTATTGGCAGCAATAATTCAAATTAGACAGTACATAGCTTCATTATACTTATTAACCCAGGGAGGGAGGACAGGTGGAACATTGCAAATAACTGCTTACTTTCTCCGAAGACTGAATTGAGAAACTAAATATATTAGCTGTGTACAAATATATTGAAGACTTTTTGTGATTATGATCAATGTCTTAATTTTATAGCTAACAGCACAATCCTCTGCACACTTCGCTAGATGTAAGCCCATACTGAACACAATGAGACCTGCCAATAAATGTACTTAAGACTGTACTCTCTGGCTATAGTCCTGTAGGGATATGTCCCATTGAACTGTGGGATTTCCCTCTTACTATATGTGTTTTAAATTGGCCTGTAAAGTTTGGGAAAGTATAACTTTTAATTTCAAAAAATAAGTAATAGAGAGCAAAACATGCTATTAACAAGCTGAGTAACATTTATTTTAAAAGGATTACTGTAGATTTTTAAAGAATGCAATCTTTAAACAACAGAGCTTTGTTAACAAGGACTCTAGTTTGTAGCGTAACTTAAAAATGTTAAAGTACTGGAAGGCAGGTTTTTCAGGTTGAAGGTAAAATGCAGTAGTTTTACTAAAAAAAGAAAAAAGAAATTGCTCAGTGGTGGTTTTGCAACAACATTGTATCTTCAAACATTTCTCCCTTTCGCAATCCACAAAACTATTTTACCTTTTCTCCCCTCCATTTGGTTTACCAGCTGTCCCAAAGATGAAGATAAGTTGGTCTGCATATGACACATTTGAGGCTAATTTCCGACCTTTAGTAGTAGTAGAGCTTGCAGAAGACACCAAAGATGAAACCAAGGAATGGCTGACACAAAAGATTGTAGACAAGAAGAAAAATGGAGGTGAGTACTATGTGTTATGAAAAACTTTATAAAGGCAGTTGTTTCTATTTAAGCATTAATTTATGGATACAAAACTTGCTGAGCATGTTAGAATAACGTTCTACAGGTATACCTTTTTTTTGTGCCTTGTTTTATTGAGCTTCACAGTAACTGTGCTTCCCAGACGTAACCGTTCCCGTGTTGAACATGCAAGTCTGTCAGCGCCATTTTTCCAACAGGGGTTGCTCACTTTGTGTTTCTGTTTTGAATTTTGGTAATGTAATTCTTGCAGTTCTGAACTGTATTTTAAACCTTTCCGTTCCTGTACTTTACATTTGTTACGGTTTTCCATGATCTTTGTTGTTACTGTGAACTTTGTAATTGTTTTGGGGTGTTTTGACTGCTCCACTGCATTCAGCAGTGTCTCTCCCTCCCCTTGGGTCTCCCTAGTCCCACCTAGACATATGTATGTAAATTAGGCCAATTATTGTAATGGCGCTACAATGGCCCCTAATTGTTCAAGTGAGAGGAAGTGAAGAAGGCATGTCAAATACCAAGAATGGTGCAAGAGACCTAGCTTTCAGCCTAACGGACAGCCAGCAATATAACGATGTGACCTGAGTTATTGCTATATTATATTTATTGTGGTGGTCTGGAACTGAATTCATAATGTCTTGAGGCATGTCCGTATTTAGCAACACAGGAATGATATTTTTGAAACACATGGGGAAGTGTGAAACTTCTGGGTTTGTTTTATCATGTAATATATAAAAGAAAATGAACTTATTAAATGTTACATGAAAATATAGAGGGATGCTTTTGGCAGAGAAGTGAAGGGAGGAAATGATGCTTTATTCACTCCCTCTCTGTTGAAACTGCGCTTTCTCACTGTTTCTTTACTTTTATTTGCTCTCTTCCAAAATTCTTTTTCTTAAAATGCACTTGTGGTCCAGGATTGGTATTCTAATGTTGCATAATCGCTCCTCTGAAGTATTGGCCCCTTAGTTGTTTCTTTCAGGCAAAGCTTTGTGTTTAGTTGTTTTTTTTTTTAAGTTTTTAAAATACAATCCTTAAGCTAAACTTAAGGATTTGTAAGTCATAATGATTTAAAATAGGAGAGACTGGATCATGTGCATAACTCTGATTCATGGAAGTCAATAGTATTGGCTTACTTACTTAATTATCATCATGATACATTTATATCCTGCCTTTTTCTTCTTGTGAGGAACCCTTGCTGTCTTGTATATATTATGTAAACTCATTTTAAAATTATGCTTAGATTAATTTCTTGCTCTGTTTTGAAGGAGCCCAGCTTTTGGTTAAACCGTTGATGGAGCATGATAAAAAATTAGATGGAAACAAGAACATATATCTTGTTGGAGCATCTAATTTAAGGCTTCTTCTGGGAGCTGAATCAGTAGGATTGGTGAAAGAATGCAATGATAATACAATGAGAGCCTTTACATATACCACCAGAAAAACCTTCAAAGATTTTGCAGGTAAAATAATAAATTTTTAGGCTTCTTTGTGTAATAATTTTGTATTTCTGCAATACAGGGCACAATTCTACCAGTCAGGCCCCAAACTCAGAGGCTTACAGTCATCCTGTGCAGAGTGGAGAAGCAGCAGAGGCAATCTTTGCCCTGCTTGTAGTCTCATCCCGCCTGTTTGCTAGGTAAGGCACAAAAGCCTGCCTAGGTGGAACGTTTTGGAGGATGCAGGAAGGAGTTTGGATGGGCCTCTGAATAGCTCACATTCTAGCCTCTCCGGTCTTCTTCCTGCCTGCCAAAATACCACCTTTTACTCTGCCCCAAGGACACTTTTCAGACCTCAGAGAACAAAGTTCTTTTGGCATTGGCTACAAGGGGTGGGGAATCGAGTCCTCTGATTCACAACCCCATGGTTGGAGAACTGCCTCTGATCTCAGGTCAGGGGATCCAAAATATGCTACGGTCTCTCAGGTGCTGTCCAGGGGCCACAGGATCGTTCCTTTATGTGGTAAGAGCTATTTGAAGTGGATAGAGTCTTACATTTGTTTCAAGCATTTGTGGATAGAGTAGCTGTCTTACATTTGTTTCAAAGCACTGACTGATTTGTTTGTTTCTGTTAAAGTGTAGCTTTGAGTCGTGGAATGTAATTCCATTTTAATGTTGTATTCTTCTGCATTGCTTGGATGTTGTTAGGCTTAAACTTTCTGAGGTGATTATAAAAACTGTTCAATATTATTTATAGAATATTAAAGCAGTTAATTGTTTTAAAATTCACTAGATATCTACACTTTAAAAAATTAAGCCACCTTCAGCAGAAAGGCTAATAAGATCTGTCAATATATGTGGATATTCACAAATAATTGGCCATTTCAGGAGGCAGTGGTTTCTGAAGTTGCAGTCCTATACATATTGATCTGCAAATAAGTTCAGCTGAACTCAGTGAAGCTTACCTTGGAGTAAACATTTATAACAGCCTTCCCCAACCTGGTGGCCTTCAGAGGGATTTGGACTGCAGCTCTCAGAATTCCCATCCAAAATTCTGGGTGTTGCAGTCCAGATGTGTCTGGAAGGCGCAAGACTGCAGAAGGCTGATTTGTAAGATTGTATTGTTGGTGTCTTTGTTAGGCTTTTCCTTAAGAATCTTTTTCACAGATGATCAATTGTATCTCCAAAAACAAACTGCTTCCATTTATTCAAGCTTACCATTTCTTTCTGGTTTAGAGGACAATCATGATTTCCTTACAATGGCAGAGTGTCAGTATATCATCAAACATGAACTTGAAAACCTAAGAGCTAAAGATGAAAAAATGATCCCTGGCTATCCTCAGGCAAAGCTTTATCCTGGAAAGTCAATTAGTAAGTAACTTTTGCAGTTTGTAATTGTATAAGCATTGATATTTGAGAAAGGTATGTGAAAGGGTATGGGGGTAGGTTCAAGAGAATATTCTGATGTTGCAAACTGGCAAGTTCTGTTTACTACAGTTTTTGCTTACATGAATTTTTGGTTAATTGCTATTTTTCTTCAGTGGAACCATCTATAGGAAATGCAAACATGTCCAGTGGCAGCTTTCCGAACTTGCTTAAACAAATCTAGTTTACAGTTTTCCACTACAGCCAACCCACAAGTCTGTGGGAATTGCAGAAGTGGTACACGAAGGCAATAACAACTTTTGCTCATGTTTTCCAATGACTGATATTTAGTTGCTATTACTCTGATACTGGAGGTAATATGGAGCCATCATGCCTAGCTGCCTTAGATTGAACCACCACAAATTTATCTAATCTCCCTTTAAAGATGTCAGAGTTAGTGCACATCATATTTAGTGATAGCAAAAAACATAATGATGTACCCTAGATCTCCCTGTATTCAGCTTCATTTGATGACCTGCAGTGGTTCTTCATGTGCTGTGCATGTGCAAAGCCTCAACTGAAAACCTTCTGCAGTTGAGGAATTAGCTCATTCTCCTCCAACTCTGAACTTATATGTATGACTTTCATGTGTGTGTATAAACTTACACACACACACACACACACACACACACACACATGCTCTCACTAACAGTAAAAGGAAATCACATTTTCCTCACTTTAATATAGTATATAACTCAGTGGAACATCATCGTTCATGTTTCTCTGTTAGCAAAAGACTTTAATACGTCATCAGATGTCATGGTTTTGCTGAGTAATTTGCAATGAGTATTGCAATCAGTGCATTTAGCCGAAATCTGTGTTAAATCTGTCACAAAATCTGTTATTTGTGACAACTGTGAAAATGTTTATCCTTGCAATTTCAGATGGGAAGAGTCACATAAGATCTAAACATGATAACACTGAAATAATTTTTCCATGTGTACCTGGCAATGTTGATACCCCCCCCCCCCCCCCCACACACAAACATTTGATGTAGTGGTAAAACTGAAACTGTTCAACTAAAGGTCCAAGTAAACTATTCTACAGTTGTTTACTGATACTTCTTCTCATTCTTGAACAAACTGCTTTCTTTGAATAATTATATGAACAATTGTCATAGGACTTCTGATGCTTGCGGTGTTTGGTTGTGAGCCATGCAACTTTCATCAGCTCACTATGTAGTAGGGATCAATGTGTGATATTTTGCATTTTGGGCCCCTTCTTCAGCCCAGATAGCCTCTAAGTTATTTTGGTTTCAGAGCAATAAAAGACCCATTCTGACATAATATTTGGCACTGGAAGAGCGCATAGCTGTAATATTATGTCCTGATATCCTTTATCCATACACTGTTTCTAGAATCAGATCTGTGAACATAATTTGACAAGAACCTCATGGATCTGACTTGGAAAAATTATGTGATGCACTACTGCTTTGTGTATATCCCTGTAAGATTCATGAATGGCTATGAATGGCAATCTACAGGGACTATCTTTAATTTCACTGGGACTGTATGTGGGAAGGAGAGATTGAGATTACAATGACTAATAATACTGAGGGTGTGGTGGTTAAGAGTATGGGATTGAGGTGATCTGTGTTAGTACCCCCTCAGCTTGGTCCAGTCACAGACTCTCAGCTCAACCTACCTCACAGGTGTTTGTTGTGAAGATAAGATTATATGTTTATTAGATTTATATCCTGCTTTTTTCTTTCAAGGAGCTCAGAGTGGCTTACATCCTCCTCCTCCTCCTGCTCAGTCTTACCCACAGCAACAATCCTGCTGGTTGGCCTAAGAGTCTGTAGCTGGCCCAAAGTCACCCAGTTGGCTCCATGGCTGAGCAAGGACTAGAACTCAGATTGCCTGATCCCAGTCCCATGCTGTTAACCACTACATTGCACTGCCTCTCAGTGATTAGGAGAAAGAAAATTGTGTAAGCTATCTTGAGTCCCATGACAAGAATAAAGGTGGAATATAAATATAATCAGTCATTAATGATTTTTAATTTTATTGAAATAACATTTGACTTACGTTTACTGTGTTAACAGTATTTCAAGATCAATGCTTTCTTTCTTCTTTCAGTGCGAAGACTAATAACCAATGGTATTCTAATTCAGATTTTTCCACTCCATGACACAGAAGAATTAAAAAAACTTAGGCACACCTGGTATGGACAATGGAAATTCAGCTACCAGCCTTTAAGTAAGTTGATATTTCTGTCACTGGAAAAGCTTAAGGAAAGCCATTCTTTGTTCACTGAGTTTACGGTTAGGGTTATAATCTGAGTGGGGACACTTGTTGTTCCTGACCCATAAAGTCAAGCTTCCATTCAAGATATGAACTCAAGACCATAATGTGCCACAGCTGGAGAGCAAGTAAGGTCGTTTTCCCAAAAATCAGCTTGAGTGGACAGCAGCAGTCATGCAAGATTCTATGTTTCCACTGCCTGCATATCCCATTATTCCTTCTAATGAGAGAATGGATAGATTGCTCTCCTCTCTGGAGAACTTGCTTAAGCCTGAACGCTGCATTTTGAGGCACCTTTCCTTAAAGCTAGATATTATAAGGTCACTTGGAGACTGCCTGTGCAGTTTAAGATCATTAAGATAATGGTTATTAGCCTAATTTGCAATGGCTTTTTAAAGAAAATCAAGATAAGGATTAGTCTTATCCTTGAAATAAGCCAATTCAAAATTGACACTTAATTGCAAACAGAGTGACTTGTGTATGTGCTTTACAAAAATGCTGAGCATCGGGAAGCTGAAATTGTCTTTGTTTGGTAATGACTGTTTGCAGCAATCCATTAGTATGCAGCGACTTGCTGCATGGATCAGCTGAGGCAAAACATTCTTTTCAGTTGTTTGGAATAGTGGAGCCAGATCATGAGGCAAATCACATGTCATTGTGGGGTGGCCCTTATTTGTACTTACTGCTGTATTTTCAGTTTTGGTGTTGTCCCATTTTAGTGGGGGCTGGGAGAAACGGTAACAGTTATTAACATAGTACAAAAGCACTTGATTCTACCGAGTTTAATAGTACTATTTTACAATCGTCCAATAACTAATATCTGTCTTTTCTGAATAAGATGCTCACATTTTCTGAATATGATGCTTACATTTGATCTCCTTTTTTCCCCCACAGATGAAATCCGTTGCTATTTTGGTGAAACAATTGCTTTTTATTTTGCATTTTTGGAGTATATCACATTTGCTTTGATTCCAATGGCTATAATTGGAATTCCTTATTATATATTTGATTGGGAAGATTATGACAAATATGTGCTGTTCGCAGGATTCAATCTGCTTTGGTCTACTGTAATCCTTGAACTCTGGAAACGGTGTTGTGCTGTCATGGCTTACAGGTGGGGGACACTGTTGATGAAGCGACAGTTTGAGGAACCGAGGCCAGGGTTTCATGGGGTTTTAGGAATCAATCCTATCACTGGAAGAGAGGAGCCAGTGTACTCGAGCTTCAAAAGACAGTTACGAATTTATTTGGTCTCATTACCATTTGTGTGCCTTTGTCTTTACCTCTCACTTTATATCATGATGATTTACTTTGACTTGGAATACTGGGCACAATCATATCATGAAGAGAACCAGTCTGAATTAAGCAGCTTGTTGTTATATGTGCCCAGCATAATTTATGCTGTCGTGATTGAAGTTCTAAACCGCATCTATAGATACGCTGCAGAGTTCTTAACGTCGTGGGGTAAGATTTTGTTCTCCTTTGTTTCTTAGCTATTCTTTTATAGTTTTTATTTGTATTGTTTTGCTGTTATACTACATGTTTCAAGATTTATCATATTGATGGAAGCTGATTTTAGACAGTCAAGGGAAAGCAGTATGTTAAGCCATTGGACCCCAAAACCTGAAAGCCAGCCAAGAAATATTTTCAGTAAATAAGGATGTTACTGTAGCTCTCCAGAGCTAGACGTTTATGGCCTTCCTATGCAGAGCATGAGGAGTGCAGAGTGATAGCAAAGATCACTTTTATGTCCTCGGAGAAGCAACTGGCACAGTACTTTCTGTGCCAGTTGCAGAACGGGGGTGGGTGGGAATATGAGGTTGGAGCTCTCTTCCTGTCTCGGATCTGAAAATCTGAAAAATTTTCAGCTCTCCAGATGTTCTCTAGGGGTCAAAGGATTGTTCTGCTCATAAATTAAAAATAATACATTTTCATAAGAAGACCCTTTTATGAGTGGTTCGAGTTTTATGCAGTTAGGGAAATGAAGTTTAGAATTCCTGAGAATAAAAAAAACCTGAATGATTTCCTGAGGGGGCTCTGCAGAACACTTTTCATTGTTTAAGGTTTGTGGTCGGATTGAACAGCTTGCAAAATGGCGATTCAATGCTTCTGGGGTCAACCAGAAATGAACTGAAACAGTAGTTTCTGGATGAGGCTGAGGTTCTTTATGTGAGCTCTGCCTACCTGCCCTGTCCTAGAAATGAGTGCTTCCACTAGTTTTAGGCTGGCGCCAGAAATGTGAATTCCCTGTTGCACAGATTGTAGCTGCTGCTTTGCACCAAAATCAGCAGGGCGAGCTGCTCATGGTGAGTTGCTGTTCATTCCTGCCATTTCTGAAACTATTCAGTTGTTTTGCTGAAATGGGGAAATCTCTAATCCAGATTTACAGGTTTACAACCAAATTTCTTTGTCTATGTGAGTGGTAGTGATGGTGGCTTTTAAAATAGGCCCTTCTAAAAACAGTAACTTCTTTTATAAGAGTGGCTTTCATTAAATCATCCATTATTTTAGGTTTAGGAAAAAACTATATTCTGCCTTCGATGTTCTTAAAAATATACCGAGATTAAGGCTTTGTGATACAGTGATAAAAGCCTGATGATCAATCAGCTAAATAACTTTTAGCATTTGGCAGCCTCAGTAATGAGAAGTGTTTCATGTGTTGTGTAACCATTCTTTTTGAAATAAGATGTAAACTCTAGCATAATTTGAATAGATAAGCTTAATGAGAACTGAATCTTTCTCTGCCCTGGACAGGAAATGCATTAATAGAGCAGAGACCAAATTAGTAAAAAATATAGAAGACTGTTTAAGTCAGTCTGTGCATATTACTGTTATTTTGACTTTAACTGTGTGTTGGTGGCAGGAAGCAAAAAGTATTGCTGTTAATGGTTTTGACATAACTAGTATTGAGGCATGACGAGCCAGAGATACTAATGTTGCAATGGAAAAGTACTGTTATTAAAACTATCAGAGGTGTGTTGATACTGGACATGGATTCTTGTAGGCTACCACTGTGAATATACTTTGTGAATATTGATTAACATATGATGGGGATAGAAAAAATGAATGCATACTTTTGATTTACATTTGTTTCAAAAAAGTAAAGAAGTCAAGGAATTATTTGGGATTAATGGAAAGGGAAACAATACGGTTGGTCCCAAAGTACTATATGTTTCATTGATTATTCTTTATTTCATTTAAAGTAGTTTCAGATGGAAAGGCTTGCAGATTGTCTTATATAACTTCCGTAAAAACTAGATAGTGTCTACTCCACTGACTTACAAACTAAAAGATATGAGTCAAAAGTAAAAGATGATGATGACAGAAGAAGAAAACAAGCAAACACGGGCACCATTTCTTGTTATTTTGAATTAATATTGGTGCATTATTGCTGTACTTTTACTGTACTTTTGCCCAGTAATTATACTTCCCTGAGTGGTACTGCAGTGCATTGTAAACCTAAAATATATATATTTAAAGCAAGGAACAAATGGCACAGAATACAATCTAGGTAAAACCAGCAGCAAAAATTAACTATTCCAAGTTAAAACCCAGAAGCAGAATAAAATACTGAAAAAATTAAAACCAGTTATTAAAATGCCTGAGGGAATGAAGGAATCTTCAGCTGACACCCAAAAGGCAATAATGTAGGTGCCAGGGAACTTCTCTTGGGAGAGCATTCCACCATGTAAGGCTACCAGTGAATAGGCTCTCTTTCTCCTGCATTGCCTCATTTGTGTGGGCCATCAGATGATGAAATTAGTATCAAGATAAATTTGGAGGGATGTTCCTTCAGTTGAGCTGGCCCCAATTTTTTAATGTAATAACTCATACACTAAGCAGTTTTTACTTTCAGTAAAGTAAGAGGGCAGTCCTGTGCCAGTTTAAACATAAAAATGGCTTACAGCTCACAGCTGGCTGGAGAATGCTAGAAGTGCTAGGACATGTTCTGTCTAAGTATGTCTAGGACTGTATGCTAATTGAGTTTGGAAGGACTGAGAAGATAAAAAGAATACTGGCCCCCAAAATAACTTCAAATAAAGATTTAATTGGAACATGTAGATTTCCTTGTCATTTCAAAATGAAGTATGCAGCTTAACTTTCATGTAATACTATTGGTATCTTGTATTCAGGACTATGTCCTCAGTGTAACAAAGGGGATTATTTAGATAAATAAAGCTTCTTAAAAACAGAATGTTCATATTTTCATGTTCTTTATGAATTATGTAAGACAAATAATCTTGTACAATATAAGCAGTATCTTGTGCTCTTGTATTTTCTGTTAACTGGAAATCTTTGTCGAATTTCAGAAAACCATCGACTAGAATCTTCATATCAGAATCATTTAGTCCTGAAAGTCTTGGTGGTGAGTATAGTTGAAAACATTTGACCTATGTTGGGGAATAACTTTTGTACAAGTCCCATTGAAATGAGGGGCCAGTGTTTCCTAAAAATGTTGATTGGTTTGGAATCAGAGGATTTCCATGTGTGCACATGATGTAGTTCACAGCATTTCCCTTTCTACTACCAAAAAGGCTGCTCTGGAGAGTCAGTATCCTCTGGAATGGCAGATAATGGAGCATGGGAAATTGCAGGCTGGGTGGGTCACTCATGCATGTGCACAAGTTCCTTAGACTTTGAAACCCACCCATTGTTCTTGCCTGAGTGCATTTTACCAGCAAATGCTTCAGAGGATTCTGTTTGACACCCTGACACATTCATCCGTTCATCCTATGCATGTTTACTTCCATTTTATGGAATGAAACTTCTTTGTTGGATTTCAACCGGTAAGTTGGGTTGTGTGGTGCGGCACCTTACAGTTTCCATTTGGCTGGTGAAAGTAACAAACTGGAGATACAAGCCAGAGATGAACAGGTTATTAAATTGGCCACAACATTGTTCATTTTTGATTTGGACCAGCAGAGGCATAGGACATTGGCCCTGCTATTGGGCAGACTGGAAGCTCTCTGATTTTTCTCTTTTGGTCAATCTGCCAGAATTGTTGGTGGTAGATGGCAGAGTCAGAGTCACCGTGCTTGAGACCACAAATGTGGACTCCTTTCCTTCCACCCTGGGTGTGGAAAGCTCTCAACCACAGTGTTGCAGTGGTCTTGCTATTGCATCACTCAGATTCATTAAGGGGATCCTAGCATGGAACAGCAGGGATCCAGATCCCTTTTCCCCCTCCCAGATGATCCAATGATGGATCCATCTCCCCCTTTACACACACAGTACAATTCTGCCAGAATGGTCTCACATACATTGATCATCTGATTTAGGTCGACCAATCTTGCAACTGGGAATGCAAAACCTCTGCTCCCCTTGCTTGCCAATTGGAGGATAGATAAAATTTCTCCATGCTCTGATAACTAGCAACTAACTTCTGTCTGCTGCAAAGATCTACTATTACCAGGTATAAGTGGTTGGTGACGTTCATGATGGCAGTGGTCCTGTTTCATGAGGACTTGTTTTATGAGCCTCAAGTGGACCCAAGTGGGTCCCACTCTGGTTCACCTCCTCCTGCCCCTACCCCTAATGAGCCAACTGGCCTTCAAATTGAATCAGAGTTATTGGGCCATCGGAAGGTGCTCCATAGGCCTGCCTCCTCTTTCCTTTCTCACGGCCAAGATCTGCATATGCTTACATTGCTGGGTTCCTGGTAAGCAGGGAACCTGATTTGTCACTGTGGATTAACTCTGGGCTTTTCTACATGAGACACTTACCATGTCCTCACCATTCCCTACTCATGGTTGTTCACAGGTGTTTTGGACAACATCATGCCCTAGTTTTGCTTCTGTGTCCTACCAGAATTTTCAGCAAATAGTTTTAGAGCCAGGAAAGTGTGGCTTTTAATTATGTAAGTCTCCTTATCTTCCTTTAGCATTCCTTTAACTCTATTTTCATACCATGGTTCACCAACCTCCCTAGCTTTTTTCTTGCTCCAGGTGTATTTGAATATCTTCCCTTTTTTGTCTGTTGTCTCTTTTAATGTGAGGGTGATTTGGTTGGGACGTCTGTCACCCCATTGATCTTCAGAATTAATTCAGTTGATCTGACTGGCTAGGTGGGTGTTCCCTTTCTCCCTTGCCACTGCACCTGCACCCTTCTCAAAACTGTGTGCTCGGTGGAAGAAGTTGACCATCCCAGATAGGAGTGTACTGTTCTTTGGTCTAGAGCAAACAGTAGCTGGAACCTCCAAACAAACTCTCAAGATCCAATTATTAATTACTTCTTCATTTGGAGGGCTCCTTGTTTTTTCTTTTCCTTATTTATTTATTTATTTGATTTATATCCTGCCTTTTTCCTACAAAGGGCTCAAGGCAGCTTACATCATTCTCCTCCTCCATCTTATCCCCACAACAAGAACCCTGTGAGGTAGGTTGGGCTGAGAGTCTGTGACTGGCCCAA